CACCAGACTCCCAATTTGAAAACTAAGTCGAAAAATGCATGTTAAATTGTATATTTAATTGATAAGATAATAATTGTCTAACTTGCAATTTTTTATTTTTATTTTTTTGTGTTTCATTTTTTTGTAGATTGGAGATTTGATATGGACATGTTCAGTAATTTGGAGAGCAGAAGCTAGCTCATTTTGTATTTTTTTTCATATTACCTTACATGTATTTTGGTTGCGTTGTAAATTCTATATTTTTATTGGTATTACATGATATGTTCGGTAATCCGCCCTTGATATTTTATTTTTGTGGATATTAGTAAACATGTTTTTTTGTGGATATTAGAAGACATGTTTATAATCATCATGCCGTTCATATTGTATTTTTGTGGATAGTGCTGAAATTCGATTGTGATGTTTATGAAAATACACAGCTTTTTGTATTGATTTGTAATAGATATTTTATTGAACATGTTATTGAATAGGCCATCCGACAGGTTATTGCATAGGTTATTGAACAAGTTATTGAAATGCGTAGGGAATTTTTATTGAAAAGAAAAAATTTAATATAAAAATAGTACCCCCTTTTAAATTTTTTTTAATTTTTATTAGCGACAAAATGAAAAATGTCGCTATTAGTTTTCAAAAAACATGATGAATAATTTTGTCACATTTGTTGAATATTTCGTCGTTAAATTGAAATATTTGGTGACAAAATGTTTTTTATCATTGAATAATTTTCTTTTCTGCTCATTTTAGTGACGAATTTTTTTGTCACCTTAATCCATATCATTGGTGAGGAAAAGTTTCGTCACTAAATTCTATTTGGTGACAAAATATTTCGTCACCAAAAAAACTTAAAATAAAATATTATTTAGTTTTGGTGACGAAATTGATGTTTCAGAGGATGAAAAATTCAACATTTGGAGATGAAACATTTCGTCGCCAAAAATAAAAAATAGGCGACGAAACTGTTTTTCGTCGCCAGGTACTTTCAGCGACAACGTATACGCCACGAACGTGGTGGCAAATTTTTTTCGTCGCTGATCACTTTAGGGACAAAAATTTGATGTTTGGAGACAAAATCAGTCTGTCACCAAAGGCCTTTTATAAATGATGGAGCTGCTTATTTGTTGGAAATTCTTTCACACTCATGTACATGCTCAATTTTTTTAGCTTTGGCAATTCTGTCAAATTATGGATAATTCATGACGACTTTTTGTTCTCAGAATCTGGAATGGTAAATCCCTTTAGGACTTGGAGTTTTGATAGTAAACCAAGCTCCTTTGGCATGTGATTTAAAAAGTAACACTCAGATATATCCAACTGTATCAAACTCTTAAGCAATCCAATCCAATCTAGAACCACCTCAAGATTGTGATATGCTTTGAGATCCAGGATCTTGGGATTAGTCAGCAGTGAAATGAATTGGGAAAGCTCTGTAATCAAAGAAATTCCTTGAAGGCTAAGAAACCTCAACTGTTTCATAGAATATTGGTGTCTGCGACTTCAATGTGTTGTTGATTGACTTATGCCACATTCCCAAATAAACAATTTTGAGATGGATGAACTTGGAAAACCTTTCAAACCTATGATCAATAATAGCCTCACCAACATTGAGGAAGCATTGAAGCTCATACCATAACCGAGCATATTCATCAACAAATCAAGCATCCAAATCTATAGTCCACACTGGTTCTGGTGTAAAGTAAAACTTCTTTAACATGGAATGAATGGAAAGGGGGCATGCTATAACTATCCACGGCCAAGCCACAATTTTTGTAGATACGCTTGATGAACCCATTTGCATTAAGCCCATCCAACTTGTATCTTCTTCCGTCACTACAAGAAATTCAGATTTTAGAGACAAAATTACTTTTTATGGACAAAATATTTTTGTTGTCAATTGTGTTATTATTTTATTTTTAGCGACAAAATTGGACATTTAGTAAAGAATTACCAAACCTTTGAGACCAAAAATTACTTTTGAGACAAAGTTATTTTGTCCCTAAAAGTGTATTTATTAGCGACATTTTCAAATTTTGTCCTCAAAAGCCTTTTTTTTGACATTTCAGAATGACTTTTTAGGAATTATTCTCTCGAGAACTGAAATTAGTCCCTAAATATTTTTTTTCAATAAAATTTATATTTTTAAAGACTAAAAAATTTAGTCACTAAAAATCTTATATGTTGTAATGCGTCTTGCCCAATGCAATTTCTTCTGGTTTTTGGTCCACTGACATTGGGAATAGAAATCCCTTTCCAATCCACTAGTAAATCAGAAGCCTTTTCTTTATGGTAGCCATTTCTGGGAACGTCCAGAAAAATCCCAAACAAAATTCCAGTTTCAAGGGGAGGGCAGCGAAAGATATGTAGATATTGTGAAATGAGTGGTGTGACCAAACTTTGGCTCCTTGTTTAGATCGACTCTGTAGTTGTTGCTGCTACGGTTAATGGATCCATCAACCCGTGGATTCCGACTTGGTGTCAGCATTATCTCAACACTAAATCAATCCATTTATTATTTTGTACAATTGTGTTGTGTCATTTTTGATAAGTGTTCGGTTTGTATCGTGTTAGCGCGCTATGTCAAAAATTTTGACCATTTGCTTGATAAGGAAGTCATATCTTATGTATCTAAGGCTTCAATCAGTGCAGGTATACCGTAGAGTATGCATTGCCATTGTAGGATAGTATTCCTATTATAACTAAGTTTATTAGATGAGTTTGCTAATTAGTTAGAGTATTGAGGCTTTGTATAAATACAGGTTATAGTTGGTTGTCATTGATTAATCAAGATGATGAATTGATTTCAGTATTTCTTCATTGCAAAAAATAGTATATGAAAAAATTTAAAATTTTCCCTCTTACATGTTAAATTTAATGAAACTAATTTCTATTGAATGCAATTAGTTATAAGAATATTTGATTTCAACTCAAATTCATTTTTTTAATTTACGAAAATTATATTCTATAATTATTTTTTTTAATAGTTTTTTTTTTTTTTGACATGAGAAACATTGTATTAATAAAAGACAATAACAGTACATAATCAAAACCCCAAAGGGCCATCCCAACCAAAAAACAAAACAAATAACAAACAAAAACAAACAACAAAAAAACAAATCCGCCAAAAAACAGTTACAATCCAAAGAAAACCACCGATCTGTTTAAAGATGTGGTCTGGAAAGCAAGATCTGCTTGAAAGCTCGCAGTCCCCGTTGACGTCGTCCTTGTCACTACTGTCCAACTCCGCCACCGCTGCCGCCGGAGAAGAAAGGACGCCCACAATGGTATAGGAAAAGAGTTGAGAGAGGAGGAAACCATTGTGAGTGTTGAAAATCTAAAAATTTATGTCGAAATCGGAGGAGAAAACTCTCAAAACTCCTATTTTGAACATAAAAAGTTAAAATCTACACTCTAAAACTATAGATTACTCTAAGAGTGTAAATTTGTACTTTAAAAATGTAAAATGAATTATCGAAATGTCGTCAGAGAATCGCCGGAGTATTGCTGGAAATTTCTCATTGACTCTCTTTGTGCACAGTATGCATGCATGTCATTTTTTTTTTTAATAGATTAACTGGTGGATATGCAGGCATCATAATTGGTGGATCTAGACAGGGCCGGCCCTGGCCTAAGGCTAGTAAGGCCTGTGTGTTAGGCTCCAAAATTTTGGCCCAAAAATAAGGTCCCAAATTTAGTAAAATGTTATAGGCCAAATGTTTTTTTTTTTTTTATATATTTTAGGATTTATTTAAAGGGCTCCAAAATATTTTATAGAGCCCATATATGGTTTAGCCTATATTTATTTATAAGTGTAGTTTGACTCATATTTATTAAAATAAAAAAATATATTAAAAAAAAAGTGTTTGGGCCCAAGAAGAACAATACATACAATATATGAGCCCTAATTTTATTTTATTTTTTATTTTTTACCTTCTTTATCTATTAGATTTTAGTGGAATAAATAATTTTGTCCCAATTTTTTTACCTGGGTCTTTATCAGTTTTAATTGAATAATTTTTTCTTAATTTTTTGCCCTAATTTTGTTTCATTTAATTGTTTTGTTTATAATTTTAATGATTATATGTGCAAATAAATATTTTTGTGACTACAAACAAATAAAAAAGTTGTAACATATCGTTTTAGCTATGAATTTTTTTTTTTTCAATATAAGAGAGGCTCCTATTTTTAAAATTTACCTTAGGCCCCTAAATTTCAGAGCCGATCCTGAATCTAGAAGCCTTGTGTAGAAACTAATTTCATGGTTAAAGACTGAACATTTATTAACAAGCAATTATCCCCATCAACCATGCTTGTGTATGTGTTTTTCAAAGTTACTACAGATATACTCATTCCAACAACCCTGTGCCCCACGTTTTTCATTTCCCAAAACAAAGTAAAATTTTCATTTCTTTCCCGTGTAATTTATGTAAGTTTCCAAGTGTACTGATTAGAGAAATGCTAAATTTTGAAATTGAACTCATGTGGTATAATCTCCATCTAGTAACATACAATAGACACTATAATAAGGATAAATTATAAATACATCCCTAAAATTTATTTAAAATACAAATTGTCTCTTGTAGTTTAAAAAATTACAAATACTCCCTTATTAAAATTATTTATTTAACAAAATTAATTAAAAAAATAAAATTCATAATTACTCTTCTATATAATAATAAAATTATCTAAATTATTAATTAAAACATATTTTTAACACCATTAAAAACAGTTGATTGACTTGATGATTCATTAATAAAATAGACGATTTGTTATGAAATTAGAAACTTTAAAGGATGGAATGTAATTTTCAAAATCACAAGAAGCGATTCGTATTTTAACCAAATCTCATAAGTTGTATTTGTAATTTATCTTTTTTTTAATTTTTTTTTTTATATAAATACCAAATGCAACTTTTTCTTGAGAAATTGTAAAGAAGCCTGACGAATGACCCTGAAGCCATGGACTACATTTAATTCAACAAATGAATAAGTAGAGCTAGTGTGTCATGAGAGAAAAAAATTACTACTATATCTCAAGACATCAATTTGCAATTTCTAAATTTTGCCTCTGCCCCTCCAAACACCATTCTCATCACACGGAAAGCAAGTAAGCCCAGGACATTCTACTTTCTCTAACGCTGTGTTTGGTTGGGGGATTTGGGAAGGGAAATGGAAATGAAAGGAAAATGAGAAAGAATTAATAGAATTCCAAATCCCAACTATGTTTGGTTGTGTTGGTTATAAAATAGAATTGATGTACTAAAAGGTCTCCTATTTCTTTATTTATTTCTCACTCCCTTTCTTTTCCCATATATTTTTTATTATAACCAAACATAAATAGGATTACATTTCTCATTCCTTTTCCAAATCCCACCCCAAAAACCCCAACCAAACACAACATAAGTAAATCAAATGGGGAAATAATCTTTTAAGGTCAATCCACCGCATCTCTAAGTCACTCAAGTACTTCAATTGCAACATCTTAACTGTGGTAGTTGCTATTGGGCCTAGATAACATAATAGTCCGCCTCTAATGTATAGTTTTTCCAGGTTCGTTAGATTGCCAGTCCACAACCAACTGGGTGTTACCATCTTAGGAAAACACTCAAGCTCTAATTTCTGCAACGAGGAAGGAAGTTTCGAATCATGTTGCTCAGTCAATGATCTTGTCAGTGCTTTTGTTAGCTTGCTGTGTAGTTGTGCTTGCTTAGATGTGTCATCTGTTTCACCTCTTAAAATACATTCCGACCAGGATATTTTTAACTTTTGCAGGGCATTTAATCTTTGTATATGACGGAGATGCATTCTTGTTGGGAATTCTTTCATACGTGTGTATATGCTCAGTTTTTTCAAGTTTCGCAATTTTGTTAAATCATCAATAGTACATGAATTTTTTTCCTTGGAATCTCCAATGATAAATCCCTTAAGAACTTGGAGCTCTGATAGTGAACCAAGCTCCTTGGGCATGTGATCTAAAAAGTAACACTTAGATATGTCCAAGTGTGTCAAACTTCGAAGCAAACCAATCCATTTTGGAACTACCTCAAGATTGTGACAGGCATTAAGATCCAGGATCTTGAGATTAGATAGCTGTGAAATGCACTGTGGAAGCTCTGTAATCAAAGAAATTCCTCGAAGGCTAAGAAATCTCAATTGTTTCATATTCTTGAGGACATTGAGAATTTTGGTGTCTGGGACTTCAATGTGATGCGTGGCCGAGTTTTGCCACCTTCCCAAGTAAACAATTTCAAAATTGACGAACTTGGAAAACCCTTCAAACCTGTCATCAATAATAGCCTCACCAACATTAAGGAAGCATTCATGCAAAGCAAATGGAGTATAAACTCGATTTTTCGTAACCATGGTACACACTACTTTAAAGCAAAACTGGTTTAAAGCAGAATGAATGGAAGGGTGCATTCTGTAGCTATCCACGGCCAAGCCACAATTTTTGTAGATAGGCTCGATAAAGCGCTTTGCAGTAAACTCATCCAAGAACTCATTGCTAAATTCCTCTGCCGTCTTCACCAACGCAATTTCTTTGTCCGTTGAGGTTGAGAATGTTGGGGATACAAGTCCCTCCCCAATCCACCAGTAAATCATAAACCTTTTCTTTATAGTAACCATTTCTGGTAACATCAAGAAACATTTCAAACAATTTTGTAGTTTGTATGGGAGGGCATCGAAAGATACCTTGATATGATGGAACTTTGGCTCCTTGTACAAGCTGTGCCAATGGCCGGCCTTGCTTACATCGACTTGGTAGTTGTTGCTGCTAGGGTTAATGGATCCATCAAACCATGGATTCCGACGTGGTTTGGAATCATCATCGTAATGGGTTTTCATAATCAGGTTTGGTGGAATTTGGGATTTCAATTTCTTGACTGCCACTTTCAGTTCGCTAAGTTCTTCTCCTCCTCTTGTTTTGAGCTGCTCAAATTTCTGACTGGCCTGGATGATTTGGACATTCATACGATCTACATACTTCTGAACCTTTACCATGACCTCTTTCATGTAAATAAGATCTCGACCAATAATGTTAGCGAGCGAAGTATCTCCAACGTGGTAGTCATCGTTGTTTGTGGTTGGATTTGGTTGGGAGATACTGCTGTCCATGGCTTTCACTACCAAAAGGTCGTGTTAAAGTCTTGCCTAGATTTAAGAGAGAGAGAGAGTGAACACGTTTTTTCTTTGATGGTCAGGGTTTCAAAGAGAGATGGATCGAGAGAGAGAGAGAGAGAGGCAAACGAGAGAGAAGGAAAGTTGTGACACCATAAGAGAGACGAACTGTGTGTGTGTGTGTGTGTGTGAGAGAGAGAGAGAGAGAGAGAGACAAACACAAACACAAACACAAGTGAGACTGAGAAAAGGTGCAGAAGAGATGAAGGGGTGGCTTACAGATGTTGGAAATCTACCAAGACAATAATTGATGAGACGCGGGGAAGAAATATGGTTCACTCACTGGCCGGGACCAGGGTTGTTTTTTTTTTTTTTTTTTGGGGTGAATAGTGAATAAGGGACCAGGGTTGTTGAAACCGCGTTCTCTCGGTAGGTTTTCATAAATTTTATAAATATAAATTTGCGACAATTTGATGCATTTATGAAATTTATTGTGGATTCTGTTTTAATTTATGGAGTTTTTTATGAGTTCTATTTTAATAATTTAATAATTTATTTTGTAGATTATTTTTTTATATTATTTATAAAAAGCATTTAAGTCGATTTGATAATTGTAATTTGTTTGGTTAGAGTTTTCTAAAAATACTTTTTCAAAAAATTCTATTTTCTTATTTTTCGTATTTTTTTTTTATTTTTACTGAATTTTTTTAATATTTAAGCAATTTTTTTAATTTTTAGATATACCTAACATAAATATACTTAAAAAGTAAAAAATTATGAAAAAAACCTTTTAAAAATTCACTAAATACGAAAAATATAAAAAAAAATACGAGAATTTAATATATTTTTTGTATTTTTATGTATTTATTAATTTAAAAAAATATTTTTCATAAATTTTTTACTTTTTAGATACATCTAAGTAAGGTGCATCTAAAAAAGTAACAAAAATGTTTCAAATTTTAAAATATTCACTAAAAACAAAAAATTACGAAAACAAAAAAACTCAATTTTCAAAAATCTTAATCTAAAAAACTCAAATCAAACACACTGATATTTTTATTTGGAAAATTTATTAGAAAATTTTTTTTTAAGTGTTTGTATCCCAATTAGTCCACAAGATATTCTTATGTTATAATAAGTCCTATTATTTGGACATTTGATCTACCAAATCTTAATTATTATATTTAAGGTATGTTATAAACATTTCTACCCTTACAAATATTTTTTGAACGGTCAGTAATTTAGTGATGTGAATATTTACATTGACGTGCGAATATTCACATTGACATGTGAACATTTACATTGATGGTGTGGACATTTACATTAGCGATGTGAACATTCACATTGATGGTGTGAACATTCACACTGTAAATGTGAATATTGTTAGGGATATTTTGATAATTATGTCATCCATATGACTTGTTGGAAGATGAGAAAATAATATAGACTAAATGAAATATAAGTAGGTGAAAAGAGATTTATTAAAAAGTGTCTCCTTTTGTTTTATTGTGTTTGTTTTTTTAAAAAAAATATATGGTCTATTTAAAAAAAAATACTTGTTTATTTTTTCAAAAAACAAAAGTGATAAAAAAAATGTTATAATTATCGGTTCAACCTAATTTTTTTGCATAAATAATATACATTAAGAATTTTACAAAATAAACAATTAGGATCATTGAAATTGAACTGTAATGGATTCCACGGAGAAGCCCAACTGTAGACATCCCATTTTGATCGATCTTAAGACTAGAGCGTTTTCTTCCGAACATCTGAGAATGAAAATTGAAATATTTTATTTTATGAATTTCTCAATAAAATTTTTTTAATTCTAACCTTACACCTATTTTGATTAAATTATTTTAGATCCTTTAAAAATCTGTTTCTGGCCAAAATCCAACAAACAGGGCAATTTTAAAAAAAAATGGCACATGTTTTGAAAAACCTCGTGGATGGCCGCATTGTTTTTGAATCTCGTGGGATGGCCATGTTGTTCATGGAATTTTATTGAGTAATTCACCAACTATAAAGGGGCACTCCACCTGGTTTGGAAATAAAAAATTGCTTATTAAAAGAAAAAAAAAGGAGGAGAAATCAGAGATAGAGAAAAAAAAAAAATCTTTTTAAAACGAATAAGGAAAAGAAAGGAGGAAAAGACAAATTTGTTTCAGAAAGGAAAAGAAAGGGGTGAAAGAACAAAAATGATCCGTAGCTCGAATGTGGAGAGCTCGAATGACTCGAATGGTACGAAAAATATTATCTTACCGGTAAGAAAATAAAAAAAAACCATTAAAACGACGTCGTTTTAGGATTTCGAGCCATTCGAGCCTTTGATATTTCGAGTTACGTAGCGGAACCGAATTGTATTCAAAGAGAGGAGAAGAGAAAAAAAAAAAAAAAAAAACAAAACAAAAACAAAAAATTGAGAGGGAGAGAGTCTGTCGAGGGATTTTGTTTTGCAACAAAGAGTTTTCAACCTTTTAACCTTTTTTTTCACGGATATATTATCTTCTAATTTCATTAAAGTTAAAATTTGAACTTGAGATTTCATCAAAACATATTTTACAATTATGAGGGTATGAGGAATAGAGTTTGGTAATTAGAAAATTTATCATTTACTCAAAAGGTAAATTTTTTTATTTTTCTCATCTTATTTTGTGTTATTTATAGGCAATTTTTTTTTAAAAAAAATAAAAATAAAAACTATATAATAATTTACAATATGTAAATAATTATTTGAGGAAGTTGTCTCCCACCCTCCTCCTCCGCTCTCTTGTTATTGCTTTTCTTTTTGTTTTATTATATTTTTTTTCTTTTTGTTTTCTTTTTATTATTATATATATAAATTGTGAAGTGGGTTGCGTTGGCACCCACATTTGTTTATTTTTTGTTTTTATATTTATTATTTTATTACGTATAATGAAGTTAACTCGAGCAAGAGCTTTGGTGAGAATGTCAGCTTTTTGACAGTTTGTTGGAGTGTAGCTGACTTGAAAAACTCCCTCTTCAATCTTTTCCTTGATAAAGTGTCGATCTATGTTAGTGGTGCAATTCGGTCGGACTAATAACTCGGGCTCAACTTGAGTTTTTTTTAAGACTTGAGCAATAATATTTTATAATTTAGACAGGTTCAGGTAAATTTTTAATGCCTGAATCATAATTTGAACTGTGCCTAAACAGATTTTATATGTAACTCGAGCAAGCTAAACCCGAGTTACATTTTATATGTTATAAAAGTTATATAATATATGTATAGGTCGTGATTTCTGTTCAGTCTGGGATCGAATCGGATCGTGCTGTTGGGCTCGTAGGGGCTTACCACGAGTTCCGTTTAGATATTCTGAACCGTTAAATGTGTAGAACTCGTCGAGTACTATATGCCTGTAAAAAATCACGTGATCGGATATCGATAGCTATGTGAACAAAACAGTTTTTTATCAACCGTTAATTTTTTCACCGCCCATTTTTTATATATAAAACTGATTTGATCACATAGCTATCGATATTCAATAAATGTAATTTTTTATAGACATGTAGTACTTGATGAGTTCTACACATTACACGATTCAAATTTTCAAAACGAAACCCATGATGAGCCTTCACAGGCCCAACAGCACGGTCCAGATCGGACTGGACAGAAGCTGGACCCATATGTATAAGTGTGGGCATGTCTCGTTTTCAATTTGTCTCCTCTTGAGCAGAGAGACCACGTGGGGCTGCTCATTTTGCTTTCACTTTGTCTTCTCTTGGGCAAAGTGTCCACCACCTTTTCCATATTGCTGTCATTTCCCTTTCTCTCTCTCTTTGGCCACCATTGAAGTTCAAGTTTTGAGCTTTACTCAGATGATCCCTCATTCGTCCAGAGATTCACGAATAAGATCATGAGGTGTCTGATATATCCTTTTATAGATTTAGTTTGTATTTTTTCTTCTTTTCTTTTTCCCAAAAGAGAGTGTTAAGTTGGGCTCCATACTATATCCCTCAGCTTCTCTCTCTAAAACTTTTGATAAAGTTGTCTTCTATATTTGTTTTGTTGGATTTGCAGGTAGAACTATAAAAAAGATCATTTTTATAGCAGTAATGGTTTACTTGCAGATTGTGCAAAATTTAATTTAGGTATGATTTAATTTTTTAATGAATTGTTTAAAAATTTCCTTATTTCCTTTATTTAATTCTATTTGGGTGTGATAAATATGAATTATTTTTCTTTTTTATTTAGTACATAATTGTTATTGAATCACTCTCAATTTGAATTTTATTTATTTATTTATTTATCTATTCAATTGGAAAATTTGGGTAATTCGACTAATCCAAGTTCAGATTATATAGCTCGGTCCAGACTTAGACAGCTAAGCTCAGGTTGATGGTCGGGCTGGGACACTTTCAAACGAAATTCAGGCTAGGCCTGGGCAATTCTCCAACCGTGCCAACCTACCCAAGTTGCACCCCTTATTGGAGGTGTCAGATTTTCAATGTTTAGATATTATTTGAGGGAAAACATAGCACAGAGCTTGGTTTGGCTTAGTGGTTATGATGTTGAGGTAACGCTTACATTTTTTGTTTATGAAAATATTAATATTGAGAGAGAGAGAGAGTGATTGAAAGACTAAACATAGACTCTTTATATCAATATCTTAAGCCTTACAATGCTACTCCATTATATAGGAGGTTTATACAATATGATCAGATGGAGGCCATGAGGCCACGAGGCCAAAAACACAAACAAGCAGCCACGAGGCCACTACATATTTAACTATACATTAATATATATTACATATATATCAGCATACACTCTGTTTATTATTATAATAACTAGCTTAAAAAAAAATTAATTGAAAAAAATGAAAAAAAATTAATTAAAAAAATAATTGAAAAAAAAATTAATTGGGAAAAAAATTTTAATTGAAAAAAAAATTAATTGAAAAAAAAAATAATTGAAAAAAAATAAATTGAAAAATAATTAATTGAATAAAATAATTAAAAAAAAAAATTGAAAACTGAAAACGTAAACTCATTTTTTAAGTTTACGTTTTTTCTTCAAATTTATAAACTGAGACAGCCATTTATAAATCAAAAAAAAATATCAAACAAATTTTTATGACAATTTTTAAAGTTCTCATAAATATAAACTGAAAACTGAAAATGAAATGGTTGTCAAAGAGACCCTGAGTGTTGGGCCCACATTGGTTTCTTTTGTTTTATTTTTGTGGTCGATGTGACATCAGCATGACGCAATGGTTGTGGTTTAATTTTCCTTGTGTCAACAGAATATTCATTGAGTTCTAAAAATTACAATTTGGCCCAAAATTTTTAGACAATTGTGCAGTGGCCCAAATTTCGGAAGAATTTTCAGTGAGGCCTCCAGAAGCGCAGCGAAGGTTAATCCTAGTTACATGGACCGTTCCGAACGCAACCACGAGGTCAGTATTATGAAATTCTGAATAGTTTTTGAATATTATTTTTATTAATATTTTGTATATAGTATCATACATATTTTATTAACTTTCTTTATAGCTTTAGTATCCCGTTTATATATAATTTTCTTATTATGTTTTACATCCAACCATGCAGCTACTTGTTTAATTGATATATCTTTATGAATGTTAGTGGATATAGGTTGTGTTGTTCAATTTGGAATAAAATTGATTTTTATGTTTGCAAACTTAATTTTCTATGTTTTGTACATATCTCAAAATTCGTTCAAAATACATGAAATTAAATTGTTCCAAAATGAATGACATAGTCTATACTTGTTTATTTCACATTGTAATTTTTAGGATGATTAATAATTAGAATATGAACATATAAGATTTATAAAATTCATATCATGGTTTAATAGAAGCCGATATTTGATTAGGTAAGCGGGGGTGCTCAATTAATGATCTTTCCCCTTCATACCTAAGGTTCCGAGTCGAGACATCTTTGGTTATGATAAATAATAGCCTTGGCACGAGTCACGAGTTTCTTAATTTTTCAAAAGATTAGGTGGCGACTCTAAATCTAGTGATGCAGTTCATTTTTGGCAAAGGTTTTACAATAAAATAGATTTTCTACAAAAGTTGCCAGATCTGGACTCTTACCTATGTTTTCACATTGCACTTGTGAGACAAGATTAAAGAAATCGAGGGTCTGAATTATTTAGTGCGCTCGAGTACCCCCCAAGCATGAGATACCAACCCTCCTTTTAACAATGTAGAGGAAGTTTCACTTTGCGCCAAAATTATCACTCAAAAATCAATTCAACATCTATTCTTTCATTTATATGAATTTTACACATAAACCATTTAATTTTGGATCAATTTCATCCCGTCGTCAAGTGTCTATAAAATATTAATTAGACTCTCAAATTTCATTTTGTCTAGGGGTCTAATTGATATTTTGAGAATAGTTTGGGAGGTTGTTGATGTGGCATGGTAAGATGGCACGTGGCATGGTTTATTGAAGAAGGACAGAGATCACAAGTTGCTGACATGACATGGTAACATAGCATGATTTCTTTGAAGAAGGAGAGATCACAAGGGGAGTTTTTGAATTTAAAGATCACAAGGGAAATTTTTGAATTTAAAGATCGCTTGGTGGTTGCCAAGAATCAGGAATTGGAGATCAAGTTGAAAGCAAAGAGTTTGGCAAAATAGTTCCTAGAATAATGGGATAAAGATGCAGAGAAGTAGAAGATCAAGGAAGATAAAAAAGAGTAAACTACATTGAAGATAGGCAAAGCAAATATAGAAGAAGGAAGAAGGAAGGAAGCAAGTACAATTTTTGTCTGTGATGATTTTTTTAAACTCTCGTTGAAAATTAAAAGTTAGTATTTTTTTGTGATGATTTTTTTAAATTGTTGCTAAAATTTATAATTAGTGACATTTTTTGTGAAAGAACTTTTAAACTGTCGATGAAAATTAACAATTAGTGACATTTTTTAATAGAGTTTGATGAAAAACGTCATTAATTATCATAGGACCTATTGGACAATAAGTCCATCTATTAGGACCTACACGTAAGTCCCGTCATTAAAATGGTGGGGCAAGGTTTTAAATACGGTCGCAATCGTTACATAATGCCGTTACGTAATAACGGTTGTGGTGATTACCACTACTTGTTACGACTGCTATAGCAGTATGACAGAAATTCACGATCATAATAGCCACCATAGTTACAGAAAGGCCGTAGCGGCCATTACATTACCGCTACAACACCGTTACAACCGTTACGCTTCTTTTTTTATTTTTATAATTTTGTGTATATTGCTATTTTCTCTTTTTATTACGTTTTCATTACTTTTTTACTTAATTATATTTTAATATGAACTTATATCTTTCTCTTATGTTAAATTTATTTAACAAAATTTAGATTTTCTGTTATGTACTTTTACATTATTTTGTTGATATTTTGTATTTTAAACTTCTGTTTATAAGACTATTATTTTTAATATTAAATGTACTTCATTTTTCCTTCTTAATAAATCAAAAAAATTATCTAAAATTATAATTAGTAAAGTAAAGAAAATTAAATAAATTTAACAATAGAAAAAATTCATAACAACATAAAACTAATATAAAAATTAGTATATATATTCGATTATGTTTTAAAACTAAACAAAAATACTAAAAATAATTTCGAAACTCACTAAATATGATTCTAAAATAAAAACATGCATATCGATATGTTTTTCTAAAGTTGTGTGAAGAATTAAAAAATTCATGGCTACGGTTGCGTCACCGTTACGCTACGACCGTTATATCTCGCAAACACATCAGCATTACCGCTACCGTTACTGTAACCTCGACCGTTATTTAAAACCTTGGGTGAGTCCTACATATATACTAGCTTTAAATGCATGTAGGCATCATATTGTCTTGAGTCATATTTCTATCGTGTCAGAATTATTTCGACACTAACTTAATGTGTTTATTATTTTGTATTATCATATTGTCTCATTTTTAATCCATATCTAATTCATAATATGTCATTTCAAAAAATTTGAGCATTAACTAAAAATTGAAGTGTATGAAACGATTAAAAACAATTCTCCACAAGTTAACTTTAATGAAACTAATCTCTATTGAATGAAATTAGTCCTAAGAATATTTGATTTCAAACTTAAAATTGATTTTCTATATGAATTTGGCACCTTGATGGATTCAGGAAAGGAAATGGATTATCTTGAACTGGTTGGGTGAAGAAATGTCATGTTTAAAGAGACAATTGATACTACAATGCTTATATATATATATATATATAAAATCGTAATTTTTTTTTTTAATTTCTTTCAATCTAAATTTACAATTTTATATTTAAATTTTTATAGAGCGTGATGGTTGAGAAAAATTGATCAATAGTTTTGAACACTTTAACAAAGGGGAACAAATCTTTTTAACAATTATTAGATAGGTCCGGACTCTCTCTAGTCTAGGTTTGGGATAGTTTGGTCTAGTTCGGCCTAGTTCGGCTCATTTGGTCTATTTTTGGGTTTTTTTTTAATAATTAGAACTGTTCATATTTTAAAATTTGTTGAATACATTATTCCTGTAAAAAAAATCACATTGATCGAATAATGGATACTATATATTCGGATCACTTTTGTTTGAAAAAAAATGGACGGTCAGAAAATTAACGGTTCATAAAAAAGTGATCCGAATACATAGTATTCGTTATTCGACAGATGTGATTTTTTTTATGAATAATATACTTAACAAATTCTAAAATATGAACGATTCGAATTATTAAAAAAGGACCCAACAGTGTGTTCAATGGGCTGGATGGTGGACTGCGGCAAGCCCCAGCCTATTAGATATGATAGCTATTCAGTGGGAAGTGGTGACAATGATTGAGTGCGACGGATATTTTTGAAAAATTTAAAAATATATTTAATCAGTTTGTTTGGTTTCCTTTTATAGGAAATTAAAACTTCTTGTTTTTCATATTTTTTTTGCTTTCACTAATTTTTTGTAATATTTTTAGTAATTTTTTTAAATTTTTTGATACGCCTAACATAAATATATTTAAAAAGTATAATATTTGTGAAAAAAATATTTAAAAAATTCACTAAATACCAAAAATATAAAAATTCAGTACAATATATATCCTAGTTTTAAATGCATGTAGGCATCATATCATGTTGAGTCGTATTTCTATCGTGTCAGAATTATTTCGACACTAACTTAATGTGCTTATTATTTTGTATTATCATGTTGTGTCATTTTTAATTCGTATCAAATTCATGTCGTATTAATATGTCATGTCAAAAAATTTGACCATTAACTAAAAATTTAAGTGTATGAAACGATTAAAAAAAATTCTCCACAAGTTAAATTTAATGAAACTAATCTCTATTGAACGAAATTAGTCCTAAGAATATTTGATTTCAAACTTAAAATTGATTTTCTATATGAATTTGCCACCTTGACAGATTCAAGAAAGGAAATGGATGATCTTGAACTGGTTGGCTGAAGAAATGTCACGTTTAGAGAGACGACCGATACTACAATGCTTATATATATAAATTAAATCGCATTTTTTTTTTATTTCTTTCAATCTAAATTTGCAATTTTATATTTAAATTTTTATATAGCGTGATGGTTGAGAAAAATTGATCAATAGTTTTGAACACTTTAATAAAGGGGAACAAATCATTTTAACAATTGTTAGATAGGTCCAGACTCTCTCTAGTCTAGGTTTGGGATAGTTTGGTCTAGTTCGACCTAGTTCGGCTCATTTGGTCTATTTTTGGGGTTCTTTTTTGATAATTAGAGCTGTTCATATTTTAAAATTTGTTGAATACATTATTCTTGTAAAAAATCACATTGATTGAATAGTGGATACTATATATTCGGATCACTTTTGTTTGAAAAAAAATAGACGGTCAGAAAATTAATGGTTCATAAAAAAGTGATCCGTATACATAGTATTCGTTATTCGACAGATGTGATTTTTTTCATGAATAATATACTTAACAAATTTTAAAATATGAACAATTCGAATTATTAAAAAATGACCCAAAAGTGTGCTCAATGGGCTGGATGGTGGACTGCGGCAAGCCCCAGCCTATTAGATATGATAGCTATTCAGTGGGAAGTGGTGACAATTATTGAGTGGGAAGGATATTTTTGAAAAATTAAAAAATATATTTAATCAGTTTGTTTGGTTTCCTTTTATAGGAAATTAAAATTTTTTGTTTTTCATATTTTTTTGGTTTCACTAATTTTTTGTAATATTTTTAGTAATTTCTTTAAATTTTTTGATACACCTAACATAAATATATTTAAAAAGTATAATATTTGTGAAAAAAATATTTAAAAAATTCACTAAATACCAAAAATATAAAAATTCAGTACATTTTCAAATTCTTGTGTATTTATTAATTTAAAAAAATATTTTTTTATAAATATTTTATTTTTTAGATACATTTAAGTAAGGTATA